GAGCTCAGCGAGCAGCGGGGCAGGTGATGAGCCGAGGCGAGCGAGGGGGGGGTTCCAGCAGAGCGGGGATGTGAGGAAGTGGAGAGGAGAGGAGCAGAAGCCGTGGACGAGGATGGGACGTGGTCCTGAAGATCCGGGGTTCTCGGAGGAGTAGGTGAAGGAGATGATGGTAATCCTAAACAGGCCAAACAGACAGGGGTTCAGAGGGGAATCCAAAGTCGTAATCCAAGGTCAAAAATACAATAATCCAAACACTAGAAGTCAAGAGAGCGAACAAGCAAATACGAGTGGCTGGCGCTAACCAAAACTGCAGCAATCACCCGGCATCGAGTGGCGTCTCCATCCTCCTTTTATACCAGGGCCTCTGATTACGAATGCAGCGCAGCTGGTGTCCCCTCCGCTTCTCACCTGTGGACAGAGAGCCTCAAAGATGGTTTAGTGAGGAGGAGCACTCGCCTCGGCTCGTGGATCATCACAGAGCAGAACAAGGAGAGAGGTGAAGAAGGTCATCCAAAAGCCAGCTTGAACAAGTGAGTCTTCAGCTGCTTTTTAAAGGAGACCACTGAGTCCACTGATCTCAGGCTCAGGGGGAGAGAGGTCCAGAGTCTGGGGGCCACAGCAGCAGATGATCTGTCACCTTTGACCTTTAGCCTGGTGCTGCACAACCAGTAGACTTTGGTCACTGGACCTCAGGGACCTGCTGGGGGTGTAGGGACTAAGAAGATCACCAATGTAAGATGGTGCTTGTCCATGTAAGGCCCTATAGACCAGAACCAGGATCTTGAAATGAACCCTGAAGTTGACTGGCAGCCAGTGAAGTTGGAGGAGAAGCAGGGTGACTTCCCAGAGCTTGTAATTCAAGATTATATAGAGATCAAGTGAAAAAGGTAACAGTCTAAAAGGAATGACGGGCTTTTCTGATGAACTCATGATATTTTATTCTGTAGAAAGTCCTGAAGAGGGTCTTTACCTCAGAAAGTCACCGTTCAGGGTCAATGGGAGCTTAGAAATCAGATGTCTAATTTTTAATTAGTGGTAAAAATTCCTGCAGGGAATCAGCTGGACTGGTGACATTTAAGAAAACACACAAAAGCAATAAAAAAGATCCTGCTGCTCTCATCTTCTGGTCTGAAGTCACTGGAAACCCAAAGCAGGATTTCATGAGTCTCACTGTTTTTCCACATAGAGATGATTTACATCTCCTGCAGCAAGGAAGTTTGAAAAAGCAACAAATTAAATAAAAGCTATTTCAAAATTGACATTTGCATTAAAAAAAGGTTCCCACTGTGCAAAGACCTAGTCTGGACGTCTTACAGACGTGGTCTGCACCAACGGATTCAATATAGACATGGTCTACATGTCCGTGTGACGCTGACTGCAGGGTTGCAAATCACCTAAAATGTGTCTCTTTATTCACAATCTTTAAAGAAAATCATGCTTAAGAATCATGCTTAAGAATATTTAGTCAACAGGGGGCGTCATGGGAACCAGTATGTATTAAGAGGGGGCCACCCCACCTCTTGGCCCCACTTGGGGGCACCACTGCTTTGGGTGAAACATGTGGCTCTTGTTATTGGTTGCATTAACTTGTTCCACATAAAGATATATTGAGTTTGTTATTATGCCCATTAAACTAAATTAAATTAAGTTAAGGAATTTACATTTTCTCTTATTTTCATTCCTAAACTAATTTTTCTAAAGCGTACAGAAATATTTCTGATCACAGACAAGAACTGCTACACAACGCACAAATGCACTCAGAAAAAAAAGTACTAGAGCCAAATGTGTGACAGCTTTACCAAGTTCTGACAAACTGCCCGCCAGATTAGTGCTGATCAGTTTGAGTTAGTCATCTTGAGTGGCTCCTTCATGCGTCAGGCTGCAAACAGCTGCCGTTCTCACCTCCTCTTGGCTGCTCCAGGACCGTTCTCGAGTCAATCCCATGTTATTACACATGACAACGCTGGTTTTTATTTTATTTAGTTTTGGTTCTTCCCAAGCTCAGGATTTCTTTAAAAATCAAAAATTCGGTTAATACAGGATGTCTGTGGCAAGACTGTGTGTTTACACACCATTCAGAGGTGTTTGCTTTATGTGTGTGGTGCTTTAAGGTGTTTTATCAAGTTCAGACAAATCGCCAGGTAGATTTAAGTTGATCTGTGTGTCTGTATTGCAGCAGTATCGCCTACTGTTCAGGTTGTTTTGATAGGTTTGTACCTGACATCCCTGCCGGCCACAGGGAGGAAATTAGGAGGTGACGGAGTGAGATTCTCACCGCCCGGGAAGGGAAGAGATAGATGGAGGGTTCAGAGGTAAGACTCTGATGCAATCTCAAATCTCAGCTGTTATTTTTAGCAGAAACCCCGATCCTCAAGCTGTAAATCACAGGATGTTGAGCAGAATATCACGGGAAGATAAGATTTGGTGATGCCTGTCGGCTAGTTTCTACAGTCTGGTCACATTCTGTCCACTTTATGATAAATCCTTAAATGAATAAAAGCCTTACATTCTCAGATTTTGCATAATAATATTAAACTCATAAAACATCAACCAGCTTGGACATCCTGTCTTAAAGGTGTGGCGAAGGATGTTACTGACTTTCAGGAAGTAACTGCCCTCTCCACGTTTAAAAAAATGCACGTGAGAGTTATCCTCGTGCACGCTCTGGTTGCAGGTAGCTAGCTGCCGGCCTTTCAGCTAACTTCTAGCAGTGATGTGAAATGAATTTCTCCAAATATCATGCAAACTTTGGCTTACTGAGCAGAAAACCGGCAACGGAGACGTCTGTGGGGAGCGCAGCTTTCGCTTTCAGCGCACGCCATCGCTGAAAGAGTCCCAAATAACTCTGGTCATCTGGAACACATACATACTATGAGAGCTAATGAAATGCACAAGATTTTGCAATAATTCAGTAATTTCACGATTTAACTAAAATGGTTTAAACTTCATCAATTCTCAACTTGAAACGTTTGTGATATACAAAATACAAGGCCTTTAATGCTTATTTGTAAAGGTTTAAGAGACAAATAACGACCCATCACACCTGTAGACCCATCTGAACACCAGGTGTGTGTTGTTCAGCTGAGTGGGTTTCATTTCAGGAGAGTTCCCAGGTGACTGACTAACTCAAGCATGTTTCATCCTCCGTGCATCTTATCAATCACAAAGCAGTCCTGTAGAGGATGTGGGAGAAGGGGCCGGGCCTAATAAGTAACCGGAACATTGTCTGTAGAGCTTGTGTTTGACTTGACTATCAGAGCATTGTTTCTCATCTCCTTGTTGAATGCTTTGGGTCACACACACCTCCATCCTCCCATGAGTCACTCTGTCATTCTCCTTTGTTGGGTTTAATTGACAGGTTTGGTTTGATGGGTGAAGCAGGGGTTTAAGATAAGTTTAGGGTTGGAAGTAGAGCCTCACATTCCTCCCCGAGCGTAACTATGGGTTTTGGTCTGCTTAGGCTAAGGTTGACATAAGATGTGTCCGTGGCAAAAGAAATGTGGATATTTATCCTGTAAAAGCAAAAGTTTAAAAGCAGGAGTGCACATGTTTGAAAGATCAAAGGGACAAAATCTTTATCTGGCAGCTTAACTCAGGACTAAATTGTGTTTCTGTTCACAGCAACCAATAAAGTTCTTAAAACAAACCTGCTAAAATAATCAGGGTTTAATATTTTGATGAAACTTTAATGACAATGGCGTTGGCGATGAGAAGGCTGCTAAAATAAACCCTAACCCCCCAATCTAACCTCTTTAGGCTGAGTGCCAAGCAGGAATTGAATCCCATTTTTAAGGTCTTTGGTATGACCCGACTAGGATTTGAACCCTGACCTCCCAGTCCCAGGGTGGACTACCACCACACCACTGAGAAGATTAGCTTCCACAAATATGTCAGTTTAAATGGTTTAGATCCTTAATGCCACGTGTTCCTATTGTTCTGTTACAACTAAAAGCATCTTATTAGTGTTGCTGACTTCATCATGGCGACGTCCTGCATCCTGCTGGAGAAGACGGTACCCATCGCTGTTCTTTGATGGCTGGTAGGAGTTCCTCAGGGACGATGTTTCGGTACCATTCTTATTTCATTGCTGTTCTGATGATAAACTTGGCGAGTCTGCTTCTTGGCTGAGAAACACGCACACAAATGGTCTCGGGGGGCTTTATTGTTGGCAGGACATGCAAGTCTTCTGGTTAATAATCAGAAATTGGATGTTTCAGAGAAAACGGCTCCTTCTAATCTTGAGTACTCCAATTTGGACTTTGAGCTAATCTTCTGTCGGCACCTGGTGCTTTTGCTGGTTAGAAGTGACTTCTTTGCTGCCCTAATTCATGAGCAAGCTCTGGTGCCCCAGTCCCACAGCTGGATCAGCTTTAGCAGATGATCCTGGAGCTTCATGGACTACCTTGGGTAGTTTCAGAGGAAGTTGGTTAGAAGGTGATTAATTCATTTTATTTTACTTAACGTTTATTAAAAATAATTTAACTGATGACTTTTCATAATATCTTGGAGTTTAGAACAAAGTTAGGAAACTTTGCCATGACTCAAATTGAGATAATTCTCCAAAACCTTTGGCCGCAGATGGACTTCTGTTATAGTTTATTGTCTTTTTAAAAGATAAACACCAAAATATTTCCATTTAGAATGAAACTTTTAAAATGACAGGAAGCAATAATCTGTTTTTCCCACATTAAACCAGTATTCCCCATTCTAGTCAGCCATTATAACCATAATGTAACAAATATTTTCTTAATCCACTTTTTTAAATTACCACACAACAAAACCATCTTGCTGACTGTTTCTCTGCGACACTTTGCGAATTTGTAAGCTTATTAATCCGAATTATAGCCTCTAGTGACCATCTGCTGTCGCTCCGCGCACTATTTTGATGCTGCATCCTCCTCAGCCCGCCCCCTGTGTGTGTGTGTGTGTGTGAGTGTGTGAGGGGGGGGGGGGGGGGGGGGGGGGGGTGTATACTACCGGGCGGAGTGATTCGTGCTGGTGTCTATTCCGTGCGCGCGTGTGTGCACTACTGCGAGCTACGACTGCTGCTCGTCACTGTGCCGCGAGCAGCGACTAGAGGACCAGATTTAAAGAAACCCTCCGAGTCCATCCATCCTGCTGCAGCGTTTCCTCTGGACACCAAGGCTGATTTCTGGTTCCCGCTACAGACCAGAGGCTTCTGCCAGGAGGATAATCTGTGACACGTTACGATGCTACATGTCAGGGACCTCATCTGGGGATGGCTGCTCATCGGCTGCGCAGGTAAGGGCACCTATTTGTTCTGAAGCGGTTCTGGATCCGAGCAGAAATCGGTCCGGAAAGGGGGCCGATCGGTGCTGAAGCATCCCCCGGATCTGCGCTCATGGCACCGACTCCGTTCGGACAGGCGCGCGCGGCTCAAAAGCAGCAAAAATGCGCAACTGACTCGCCCAAACAAGAAAAAACAAGCAACTAAAGTTGATTTCGAAGGCGAGATGAGCAGTTTCTGTGTGAAAACCAAAACGGATGTAAAAGTCATGCATTCACTCCGTTTCTGGTGGCTTAGAGACGCGTTTTGTTTATGTATCTTTTGTATTTCTGCGCGTAAATCTGAATAATCGCCAGAGTTAGAATAAACGTTTTACTCTCGTGTGTGTTTTTCTGCACGTGCCGCGTTTTGATGGGGTTTTGCTGAATTCTGAGGGAGGATGCTGGAGGAGACTGCAGGAGGACGCGCTGGTGGTCCTCCACATTCTGGGCTGGTGCGCAGCTTTTAGCTCCGCATGTCAAAGGAAACGCGTGTTCACGCAACCAAACGTGGCTTGTGGGGTTCAGCCAGACGCAGCGAGGAGGACGCGGCTCTCCTCAGGGATGCTTTTTGGACCATTTCATCCCCGAAATCAAAATCTTCTCTTTTTTTCTTCTCACTTTTTCTCCCTCTTTACCTCCCCCCTTTTTCTATTCTACTCCCTTTCTCTATCTCTTATTTCCTCTAACATGATTATGTGTTGTGACTTTAATTTGTGTTTAATGTTTTATTAGTTCTGAACTCGATTGCGCGTAACCCCCCCCCCCCCCCCCCCCCCCCCCCCCCGCGCAAAAGTCGCACCGACAGCTTCTGTTCCAGACTGATTGGATCACCGCTTTAATTTGGTTGGTCGGGAAGAAGTTCGTCATCCATTGAGCACGGCTGAATAGTCCTTCAGTGGACACAATAGAACCCAATCCCAGGGCTCCCATGGTTTCCCCCCCCCCCCCCCCCCATCCACCCACCTGCCCCCTCTTCTCTGCAGCTGAAGTGAAGTTTGAGGACCCCCAGGGGTTATCAGTAGGGGGGGGGGGGTATAATTTCATTTATCAGATGTTTTTTTATCACCTCCAGGTTTCAGGTTGATTCGCAGACACTGTTTGTGTTTAGATTAAAGTTTCATTCAGCTACTGGTGACTCTGACCCTGCAGGATCTCCTGCTTCCTTCAGATGCTTCTGATACTAGACCTTGATTCAAAATTTACTAAATTCTAGTTGGAAGCGATTCATTGATCCTGGTTGTGATTATTTTAATCTACGATGTCTCTTGTCCGTGAGTTGTGGGAGTTTGGCTCATATTAATAAGAGCTTTAAAGCACTCCGTGCCTTTGTTGTTTACTATGACCCATGTTCACTGTTTTCCATCTTTATATTATTGATCATCTTCACAAATATAGAGTTTGATCACTAATGTGCTTTGGTTCAGAAGCCTGCGTTTTAATAGGATCAGCTAAGGAGACTGCAGATTTGACATCCCATCAGCAGGTGGCAGCGTTGAGCTGCTTAGTGGTGTAAAAGGCTTAAATAGTACTGCAGCGTGTCGAATACAACAGAGAGAAATGCTACAGGAGCTAAAAGCGACCGAACAGAGACGATAAAGCACGATGCAGAATGGTTTAGGTTGATGGTGTTGGTTCTGGGATGTCCTGAAGGTCTCTCCAGACAAACTTCATCTCAAAACAGTCCCACATTTGTTGAAGGCAATTGCTTCTGAAAGTTCAATAAAGATGTAAACAAATGACGACAAGACTAAAGTGCTACAAGATTATTTGCACATTTTCTCACTTTTGAGGCTAATAAGACACCAAGTCTGAGTCAAGAAAGCTTCTGGCTTAAAGACACATTCCATAATTATCATCCTGGCTGCTGTGTACAACTTGGCCAGGTCTACTGTTGCATACGACATAATAGCAAACACTTTGCATTAGGGACAGACCAACGCATTGAGCTGATATTTGCCGTTTTAATATATTGGCATTGCCTAGTGGAGCCGAATTAAAATCAAGTGCAGCTTTACAATCTTATTAAAATGTGTAAAATGTGTATTTCATTCCTGAAAAAGCACATTTATTATAAATGCTCTGAAACCTTGTTGTCATCCAGCTTTTCTTCTTATTGACCTGTGTTCTACATTCATTCCTTCGTCATTTTGCTCAGTTTTTGTTTAACTGTGGTTAAAGGTTTGATTTTATCGCCGTGCACAAAAGGAAGATTCAACATTTGGTTAAGTTCAGTGAGAGCGTTTTGCTTGAAAATCAGGTAGAGCATGTCAGATACCTTCCAAGAAATCTATGTATACATATATACATACATATATACTGTGTATACATATATATATATATACATATATATGTATACATATATATACATATATATATGTATACACATATACATATATATATATATGTATACATATATATATATATGTATGTATATAAATGTGAGACCCATTGGTTGTTCTTGCCGTTTTGCACTCTCAGACTGTGGGCCACAGCTCCACCTCTGCTGTGGCACCAGGCAGCAACACTCTGGATGTGTTCATTTTTTCTCCATCTGATTCATGACCCTGCCCAGATATTCTGACTCTCCTGCAGTTTGCTCCACCTCGGAGGTAAAGAGAAAGGTAGCTACAGGGAGATAATTAGACATCTGAGCCTGGGCCGTGCCCCGTTGCTGCAGATAGAAATTCTAATAAATTGATCCCATTACTTGATGTATTTGATAGACCCTGGGTGTATTGAATGGGTAATGACAGCATCTCACAGTTTGAGGGCTGGGCAACTTAATTACATTCATTGATTTCCAGTTTCGCGTGCAGTTGGGTGATAATTGAATTTTGAGACTAGAAACATGTATTAGAATGCAGGACCACCGCACCTCTCAAGACACGACCAAATTACTGCCAGAGTGAATAAAATATCGTTTTAGAAGTGGACTGGTGCTTTTTCTTCTGATGAGTTCAGTGTGCAACAGCAGCTCTGTGTGTGTGTGTGTGTGTTATTGAAGCGGTCCACCGTAACCGCGATCATCGCCTGGTAACCTGAAGGAGTGCAGGTGATGGAGGATAATCAGAAAGAAAAACTCCACAGGTTACACAGTGGAGACGTGAGTACCACAGAGTTACGGGTGGAAAGAGGGCACAGCTTTGCACCAAAGCGATGCTTCATTAAACGCTTGCACAAGAGCTTGAGCATATGATTGTAGATTTAGCGATTGATTAGGTGGGTTTCTTGCTGTTTATGGTCTTGTACTGTCAGGGGCAAGAATGGGAAAAAGGAAACTTGATCAGCTTTTGCTGCACTGTGATGCAGATTCATCACCAATGCACTGGTTGGTTGAAAACATGCATACAGGCTGCATGTGTGTGTGCTAGTTGCATATCAAAACCTGTTGCTCCTGTTGCACAGTGATTTGTTGTTTCATCTGATGCCGTAAAACTCCTAATATAAGCACCGGTAAATGCAAGAGAAGACTCGTGTTCACATCATGCGGTGAGATGATTTCCCTATAAAAGTCTAAATGCACGTGTTGAGGGAGCGGACGCACAGATCCTAAATGCTCTACATGTGGAACGTTTATTGCTGTGGTGGGTTCAAAGCCACCGTGAAAATAATACTGGCTATTTTTGACTTTGGAGAACTGGGAAAAGTTGCCAAACAAGGGAAAATAACAAGGCACTTGAAGTCCGACTAGAACTCGATCCCCGGTCTTCCAAACGTCTGCACCATGTTGGCTTCAGTCAGCGTGATGCATGCAGCTGTTAACTACATTTGATCTGAACTACATTAAGCTGCTTTGTGATTCAGGACAATTAAAATTGCTTCATATTTCCTCGATTATTTAACCTTCCTGACATGTTTGATTGATTTTATGAGTTGTTTTAATTCCCCAATCAGCATTGAACCGGTCACACAAACAAACGCACATTAATTCAAAAAGACGGGTGAATTAATGACTTTTTAGTGGCTGGATTGAGACATTTTTGTTCATTTATAAATAGTGAAAGACACGTAGAAAAGTAGTGGAGCGACTTTCCCACCCACACACTTCACTTGGGCAGCTGCCAAAATACGTGTGGGATCTATTTTAGCATCTTTTTCTATTCTTATGCTTTACTTTCTGTTAAAAAAAACTACCAGTTGGGTTTATTTTCAGTCTCTGCAGTGCATGACATCATCCTTGAGGGTGCTTTATGGTATTTTATTTAGAAAAGTTGTGCTATTTACAGTTTATCGTTTTTTTTTTCATGTACAAATTATAAAAATAATTCTTGAACCTTCCCAGTGAATCTCAGTGGAAGAGCCTCACATAGCTGGTGATGGTTGACTTGCATGAGACCAGCTGGAGCCGTTTTCCACCAGCGGGTCCAGTCCTGGTTTAGAGGAAACGTCCGATGTAGGAAACGCTCTTTCGGCTTTCTCGTCTAAATCACGAGTTCAAGGGCAGACAAAAGGGCGTAGGAACAGTTCGCTGTTTCAGAAATACGATCCGCTTACGCCCGAACATCAGGGTCGAGTTTAGATGATGAAGTGGGGAAAATATTTTGTGGGGGCCATTTATTACCGCTAAATTTCAACTGCTTGTGGCTGCTTATCCTGTGTGGAGCAATGATGGATCTGTACCTGTTTGTCAAATCTTGAAAATGTGTGTAATTTTAAAAGAGACTTCATGAACTATAACTATTATAATGGCCACATGGTCTGTATGAAACATGTTTATGAAGCTATTTGAATGAAATACCTCTCACATAAAAGCAATTTCAGTCGTTTTATTCTTGACATTTTCAATAGCTTCTAGAATGAGCCGTTCCAGCTGGAGCTGGCCACGCCCACCCCTCCTCCACTCAGGCTGCTATAAGCTGAGAAGCTCTGAGGTCTGGGAGGATCTCCGAGTAGAGCTGCTGCTCCTCCAGCCTGGAGTGGGGATTGGGGGTTCTATGCAAATGCCCCATTTGTGACATCACACACAAAGGCTT